ACTCTATTCACCGATGGAAGAAGTGGAAGGTAAGTTTGCAAACCAGGCCTGGTTTGTGGTGCACCAGCAAAAACCAGTTCAGAGCATCAGCTGGTTTGAGGTGATGTGTGTTGTTTCTTAACTGACCAACCTGGGAAGACCATGTAGGTTTTTTTGTTCCATGAAAACCAGAGATGTGTTTGTTCATTGTCTTGTGTTGTATTTGAAGGAGTGTGACTCTCAGTCAGTACCTGGGTCAGGGTCAGAACCTGCTGCTGGTTCTCCTCAGACATTTTGGATGACTGCTGTGACGAGACCACGTGACCGAGCTGAAGGCCAATCAGGTCAGCGTACCTTTATTCTTATTCCACTAGAAAAAACCATCGCCATACTGATTGAACTCCAACACTGAAAAACTACAGGCACTCAAAAAACAAAAACACACTGTTACTTTTTTATGAAGACAGAATTGGAAATTGAATTACTAATTTAGTCATTTAGTAATCCACAAATTAATTGTTCGGATCAGAACAGAGAAAGCCAAGATTAAGATTTAAATTCATGAAGGCCAGTTTGTGATATCGGGGGTTAAAAACATCACAGAAAAACAACAGTCAGCTCAAGGTCTTTTTTATTGTAAGGTAGAGACTCTAAAATAATAATACAGAGAAAACCCCAGTAATCAGAGGATTACTCTGATTACCCCCGCCCTGTGAGCAAGCACATGGCGACAGTGGGAAGGAAAAACACCCACGACCCAAGTTCGCTCATAATATTTCACATCTTTTTATTACTGCATTTTTTTATAAGCACTTAGTTTACAGGGAAGAAATCTTTGCTGCAAGCACTGAGATCCCAGTGAAGCCACAAACGTCTATCTTTTCTTAGCAAGACAGCTCATAGCGTTGTGCTGAAATACCCCTTTTACCTCTTTGAGGCTTCATTCTGTCTACAAAAGATTCTAAGATGTTTTTCCATAGTGACTGTCTTCACTTTATCTTGCAGCCAAAACTGGTTTGAAACTGTTTAAATGTGTAAACAGTGTTTATCAGTAATTAACATTGTGCCATCCCGCAGGCTCTGCTGGAGGCTCGGTCAGTGCGGGTCTTGGTAGTTTCTTTTGGCAGCGTCGAGGGCGCTCAGCTGTGGTTGGAGCAGACTGGATGTACCTTTGACATTCTGCTGGATCCACAGAGAAAGGTTAAGAATCCCCCCCCCC